GCCGTGTGAAGACCATGGCGTCTTTTGCCGTTTTGTGAAAAGCTTTTGCGGTAATCCAGGTCAGTTTTGGAAATAAGATATCTTCTTGACATGCCACGAAGATGACTCCAATCATTCTTTGTTCTTATCGGATCAATTCAGAACATGCTGCGATAATGAAAAGGGACTGCTCGGCCACCTGTAACCTCTGCCATACTCCCCAGCAAGCACCGTCAGATGAGGCATCGTCAAATGCTACCGAAGTCCGTCTCCCCAACGGTCTGCGGTTTCGACATAGGCTTGCAAAAACTTTCCATAAGAACAGCACTTCTTCAACAAACAGCAACTGTACCGCTGGGATTGCTGGTGAGTTGAATTTTCTCCGATGAAAGCACTAGCCTTAAACTGCTGTTCTTTATACCAAATTTGTTTCGAAGAAGACCTAGTGATGCCCTTGGTTCAACTTACTTTCGGAATAACATATTTCGAAATTGCCATGCACAATCACATTGCCGTTCTGTACTCTACTCGCAACGAACGCAATGACGACGTGTCTTGAGCAACTGGTCGAGTAAGCTTTCATGGACATTGTGGCGAAGTGGATAGAAGCGCCAAAAGAGAAATTGGTAACCGGATGAGTCTAGTGAAGATCTACTAGTAGAGAGCAAAATCGGCGAGCCTCTTTATGTTGATGTTTATATGTATCTGACGAGGAGGGGAGGATATGGTTGCACGGGAGCACTTGATAATTAATATTAGTACGTACTCTGAAGAACGACAAGAAAGATTCAGTCATAGTTGGGAAGCCACGAAGCAACTGACAGCGATGGGGAAAAAGGGAACTGAATGGCCATTACGGTGATAATGGTTCAAGGTGGTAAATGAAAAGGTTGAACCGTAAGGCAAATCAGATTTGCCTATTCAGAACACAAAACTATTGAAATTTATTGAAATTTAGATCGCAAGTGTGTGTTTCCACCGGAGAAGAGGCTCACCACAGTCACGCAGGTAGCGGGAGACCGCAAAAAAGGTGATCACTAGAGTTATGTCGTTTCTGTGCATTTCCTGTCTCATCATTCAGGAGACATCAAAAAACATACCACAGTACACTAAATTCGTTTCTTCCTCGCATACGAGATCTTTGCATGTGGGACTCCGGCCCCTCCCCCACCTTTTTTTATCGTACCCAAAAGCTACCGGTGTAGGTGTGCTCAGTCTAGGCATAGGCTCTCTTCCTCATGTATCCAATGCTTATGAGGGTAAAAGGTGTTTACTAGCCTTAAATGCGATTTAACCCAGCTCTGAAACTTCCTACATAGGTCACTGTTCCCGCTTGCCCCCACCTCCCTCCCCCTCATAATCAAAGATCACGAGTGCAAGACCAAATGACCAGATTGTTCGCTTGCTATAATTAGGCTTCAAAATTATCCTTTGATAATTAATTTGTACTAATTTCAGAAAATCAAACAAATGCGACTGGGGTCACAAAAGGTAACGGCAAGCCTCCAGGAATGGCAATGGTGATCAAACTTCCATTGAACAAGACCAGGTGAATGAATACCGGTGAGACCCGAAAACCGGCGTATGAACACTAATGAGAACGGATAAAACGGAAAACACCTTGAGATCAGGAAGAGGCGTGAGGCAAAAGTAAAACAGGAATATCCGATAGGCAACAAAGCTTAAGAATGATATAGTGCCAAAAAAATTGCTCAGTATTCGCACAGATGATATGAGAATGCAGTAGTAGGCTCGATTAACATCTATAGGCGACATCTGATGGAGAACGATGCGAATCACCGGAGGTAGTCTTAGAAAGCACTATAATCTAGAGTTGATACATGTGGTTAGTTAATATTGAGGCTTCAGAGCCTCCAGGCACCTCCATTTGCTATTTTTCAGTCCGCTGGTTCTGATTCATTCGAAGGCACAGTTCACGATAGGTTTGGGGTACCCTTGTAATTGAAAAGGGTTGATACAGAGTAGTGCATCGGCGGCGAAGAAAGCGGGAAATCCGCTCACTTTGGCCAAAATAAGGCTTTCCAGGGTGGTGGAAATAGGTCGCACGAGGTTACCATGAGTAAATGGCATGGAAAGGGCTTCCGGGCGAGGGATAGAGAGTAGTGCATCGGCGGCAAAGAAAGCGGGAAATTCGCTCACTTTGGCCAAAATAAGGCTTCCCAGGGTGGTGGTAATAGGTCGTACAAGGTTATCATGAGTAAATGGCATGGAAAGGGCTTCCGGGCGAGGTTTCTGTTGTTGCAATTGCGTGAGGAGCTGACTACATTAAGATATTCAGAATTTCCTTATATTGAAGCCATCGGCCACAACTTGCTCTTAGATGTTCCAAGTTGGGTGGCCTTTAATGGCGCAGCCGCTACAACGCCTTGAAACTCGTTCGCTATGGGCCTCAAACCCATTATAGTAATCTATCAGACTGCTGACCGATCTGAAAGCTCCACCTATGGTAGGTATACTGTAACGCCACGGTTTCTTCAGAGGGACATCTTTCAGGAACCATTCTTATCATGAACTTTGCCTTTGAAGAGACTCTTTACGAGCCAGTCATAACCAGCATACAATGGCAATACGACATCGTGTCGATTCAAAGAGAATAGACAATATAAAAGCATCTGAAGTTAGGCCTAGGGAAGAGGAAGAAAGTTTCCTCTGATTCTTTCGAAAATTTCTATTCGAGATGACAACTTGGTGTTGCATGTCACAACTCCGTTTCTATAACTTTTTTGTCACAAGAAAATTCTTTAGGGCTCTGCTTGCAGAGATCGAAGTCTATAAACCCAGGCTAATGTGGAAACTTTCCGAAACTCAGTAACTTATCGTTGACCATGCCGATCACACCTCCTTCACGGAACTGTCAAACTACGAACATTCATAAACAGATCGACATCAATGCCATTTGAATTAGGTATATGCAAAAGTCTCGAGACATAAGGATATCATTACTTCCCATTTTGTTCAAAATCTCAAGCGCTAAAAAACACACCACCATGATTATCTATAATATTCATATAACTAGGCTAGTCGGCTTTTCGCGTTCATAGATGAGGACTGTGAGTCGAAAATGTTAGCCCCATCACATTTAAGATACGAGAACATCTTCTCAGCCGAGTACTGCATGAGGTGCCTAACAAGGTGAAAGTCAGAAAGGAATAAGTCATGGAAATAGTGAGGGTAGAGAACGGGGGAGCTCCTCTCCCCCTCCACAGTCCGTGTATTTGGATTCGATATAGGGCAAAGAGCTATCATGCAAGAGATCATTAGAAACAGCTCTCAGAAGCTTTTCCCCGATTTTTTGTGCAAACTCACTGTTGTAAGTGATAGACGAAACTGCTTGGTCTTGAGGGAAGAGCCCGTCGAACAGCACTTCTTTTTAAGTTCTAAGAGCAGCGCAGCTGAAATTCCTCGAGAAGCTGTACTATCTGAGGTTGCACGGGCGCGTCTTCTCCCTTCATGAGGAATTATTTTCTTGTTGTAAAGGATTCAGCTCACTGTCATCATTCAGTCCTGCAGGAGCAGAGCCAATCACATTCGAAGTGAGAAGAAGCTACTGGCTGANTAAGAAACGCATGTGATGAAGATCGCCTATTAGTTCGTGCTCATGTCTGTTCATCGGGTAAGAACTTTTCCCAGTGAAGGGTCTGACATTGCTCGGATGGTACTGAAGAAACCTCGCCAATTCTCTCCTCTTGACCTCCGGACTCCTCTCCATTCCGCTGAGAAGTCGGTCATCTTCATCAGGGGCTGGTCTTCGCTCGAACGACGGTCGTCATAGAGCGGCATACCTGTAAATTGGAACCAGGCGAATAAGCGACTAACAGCCGCAAGGTTGGCGAGCTACTCTACGGATGGATTGTTGAGGTTGGAGTCAGTGGATCGAGCCTGGAGCTGCGGCACCATTTGTAGAAGACGACTGCTCGGAATTGATCATTCTATGACCGAGGACAGCTTACAGGGAAGCGCTTGTAACTTATAAGCATTACCACCAGCGACTTTGAGATTGCTCTGAGATGTGATGATGGTCTGAGGACTGCGAAGAATCATGAGGAAGCGACAAAACATGTGAATCTGTGTCTCAAGACTTACACACCAATCTCATATAATCGAACACTCAGAGCAGAATACAAATAAGAGGAGCAGACGGATCATCCTAGGGCAACGTACTCATTTCCATTTTTTTTTCTTCAGAAATTCTCTTCCAAAACCTTCTGTTCAACCACCGAGCTCTAACAAAAAGCTTCTCGAATACATGAGAAATAAAACAAGATCTACAGCTGCGCCGTACACGGTACATTCAGAAAATTTCTTTACACACTATACAATCGTGACGTCAGAGATCTGTTTCAGTCTGAAAATCGCACTGAAGCTGTGTACAATGTTTCAGTCGTGCCAGTTACAGAATCCTACGAAGTTCGTAAGGTCAAGTTGGAAGAGCTGATGAATTCTACGGTATGTGACCCCATCGGAAAAAGGGGAAACTGTTGTGTAATGATCTCATAAGTCATTTTTCAAACGTTTCATACATTGTTCTGCAAAATTTGTTCCGAAAATCCTAATTTTGACCATAAATTGGGCATTGTTGCACTCTTCCTATTTCGTCAACCTTGATATTATTAGCGAAATCTACTTTGCAGTCAAGGTATCCGCAGCGAGCAAGCATAATCTCATTGTCGTTCCTTCCTAGAATTGCCTACTGATCCTTCACATCTGCTCTTTTTGTAAACTGCGGTGGCGACTCTTTGCACGATTAATTCTAAAAGATCTGAGTCACAACGAGACAAGCAAATCTTTATAATGTTTCCTTGGTACGGGCGGAAGCAGCTGATGCGTTTGGATCCCACTTGGCGCTCGGACCTTTAGGATCATGCACCTCACACTCTACTACCTTACCAGTAGACAGTCGAATAACAGCGACTACTACACGAAATCTCAAAATCCAAGGGAGCTCCGTAGATAAAAAAAACGTTTTGTAAGCGTTTGGGGCGCATTTCAGGGTAAAGCAAATGAGGCTCGCTCGTAAAAATCCCAACCTTCATGTCGTGCTACAAGTACATAACTCAACCAGCTGCGCTACCGTTCCACAGCTACGTGCTTGCTTGGTTCGGTTATCTGTTCGATACAAAGGTATAACACAGGAGAAATCAGATCCGTAACTTTGTTCCCAAAATCGTTCATCGAGGCTGGAACGCAGATTTGAAATCAGCGTTGGAAACTATTTACAGCGGTACACATGCCATCTGGAATGGCGGCTGTGACCAAGTATCCTTTGCTTGTAAGTAGGGAGTTTGAAACTATTCCCACTGCCGCAGTATGTTCTTATATCGTCATCAATTCCAAAATGGTGGAACTTCGAAAAGTAAACGAGGACGGAAGTAGCATCCGCCACAAATGTTTCTGTGAACAATTGTTGTTTGATGCAATTTTCTCGCGCCGATTTCTTTTTTCTTGCTCCACTCCTCTGCTTATCAAATCTTTGGTATTCCTTGCAGGCCAATTTACCTCAGATCACCACTTCAGACATTGACTCACTCTCGGTATCACTCTCAAAGACACTCATAAAAGGTATCTTTCCCTAATTCAACAATTCTGATAACATACCAGTATTTTCAGCTGCTCCAACAGTAACGAAGTTCATTCAGGGAAATGCCTCGACGAATACACATATTGCCGTGAGTTCTCGTCACTCTGCATGGATCCGACATTCGGCGACGTAATGGCCCGCCATTGCACTCTTACATGCAAGCGATGTGATGATATTGAAATCAAAGAGGAGTATGGCGGTATGTTCTTTTTCTGCTAATGCTCAACACTCGCTCCAGTCTTCTGTTGGCAATTACCTA